AACTTACGATTACTTGTTTAATTTTTTGAAAGACTCGCAAAATAAGATAAAAATTTTTCAAAGTTGAATCCTTATATGTTTAAAGCTTATAATTTTTGGGAAAAAAGTTCAAAATTGTATAAATTAAAAAAAAATTAAGAAGAATAAAAGAAGACCCGATGAAGAAGGCAAATTGGTCTTTTACGTGTGTGCCGGAAATGGAAGGGTTTCTGTGATTAAAAATTAAGAAAAAAATAGATTTTCTTATTTATGTTATGTTTTTTGATCAAAAGTAAAAACCCACTCCCTCCCCTTAAAAAAGCCAACCCCATTAAAAATGAAGTTTTCGGAAATAAAATATAAAATACACAAAATAGCAAGCAATAAATTATAGAAGGATGTATGCATATCCATTTACATATGGTAGAGATAAACATGTTAAATCTTTCCTTGATTTATTAATATTCCAACCCACCACATTTATCTTCATAAAACAAAATACGTTAGATTAATTCACGGCATTAAAAAAACAACACAAAATCAGAATACGTTAACTGCGTTTTATGTTGCTACTTTAAAAAAGTAAATTTTTTCGAAGATTTTGCGGTTTTATTTTTGCAATATTTTGGAAGGAATTACTGAAAAATAAAAACTTATCTCAAATATTGCTGTATTAAAAAATATGACTGTTTCTGGAACATCTTTTTAAGTAACTGAAGACGCAATATCAAGTGCTACTCTATATAAAGTAAACCATCCCAGATTTACAACAGTACCCCTTTAAACCTTTATCTGATCAATGGAAAGTTATAAAATTGTTGGATTTTTTTTTATTTGAAAATTATCAATTTTCAAAATTGAAACATAGATATCTCATTTGCATTTGATAATATAAAGCTTTTAGTGGTGTCGTTGAAGGGAATCGGACATGCCACACATGAATGGAGAGTCACTTGTATTTACGATCACAGTCTCTTTATCCTATTACATAAAATATCTGTTTCTTTGCAGGTTCCCCTCGTGCAAGTTTTCAAACTTCTCCTTTAAAAAACAGACAAAAGATATTTCTTACAAAAAAGCTTCAGTGTTTCCCGCACTCACTTTTATTTTGACACCCTGTTTTAGAGTTAATGAACCCTTTGACAACTTTCTGAATACAAGTGCATTTAATCATGTTTTGCACAAGACTTGAATAATTTGGAAAAAAAACATAAAACAAATTTGTGAAAATGATTTTAAAGAGAGGGGAGAGGAAGTTGGGATTTTAATTTAATTTGTTTAATAAACGGGAGCTAAGGGGAGAGTGTCGAATGACCGCATAAATATGTGAAGTACACCTGCAGTATGTAAACAGTACAACAAAATGGCCGTTTTACACTTTTTTCTAGTAAATTCCTCTCTATATATTCTATTCTCTATGAGTATATAGCACATCTTAATAAGATGATAGAGGAACTCACAACTTGCCTCAAACTCTAATGTTATAATTCCTTACATCTTTGCAACCTAATTAAATACATGAAAACTCTGTTTTTAATCTAACTGAATATCTAAGGTCCTTGACACCAGGACGCAAATACAAAAAGATTTGAAAATTAAAGTATTAGGAAAGTGTTTATTTCCTTCAGTATTCTGCAGCATTGAACACAGAGGTTCAATGCTGAGGTGTCAATCTTTGCGAATGACCCTTTTACATATATATATATATTGTAACTCTACCTGTTTTTTTTTTTAATATTTTTGAACCTAATTTGTGTACCTGCACTGAAAGACTATTTTAAAAGAAGACGACCAACTTTAAATGTCAAAACCGTCTTACTAAAAAAAGGTTTCCTGTCATCATTAAAGTCTCATTTTTAGTAGGTAACCCTGTAAAGTAGAGCCTACCCAAAAAGGATGAGGATGAAATAGATTATCAAGTACAATAGGTGGCAACAGAGAAATGAACCAATTATAAAAGACGTCAAAAGTGTCAAATATAACAAAGAAAACGAAATGTTCACACTATAGTTGACATGTTTTCCAAGATTAAATATAAAAGTTTAAAAACAGAAAATAAAGAACACATAAAATTGTACTTATTTTACTGTAATATAAGCACTTTATTCTTAAATTGTCACTATTATTAGTAGTTTTGTCGGACACAAAAACTAAACATTTGTGACGTAAGAATACAGGTGTACTGAGAGTGTACAAATTCTACGTTGTCATCTATTGTACTAGAAAGTATTTGATGAGGATGAACTAAAACTCTTTAGTCATCCTGATCTTAAGGATGAATTTTGTCTTTTGCCATGATATCGTCTTTTAAGGATATTTTATTTTGACGCAGTTACAAGGAACATAGAGAAAAGGCTGAATAGATTCCGTGCAGTCGTCTGTAAAATCGCATACTTGTGGGCTTGCATGAATGCTATGTATTGTATAGAACTAGAGCGGGTTCTATATAAACCAGATCTCCGGGTCTAAAATAAACACAGGGAAGGTGCTAAACCCTGGATATACACAGGAACTTAGGCTCTAGGTGTAAACTGGAACAGACAGGTGTGAAATACAGCTGAGGGGAAAAAGGAGGCAAAGTAGGGAGGAGGAGGGTGGTAGGGG